CAGTTTTAGACTAAGATCATCTTTTACTGGAAAGAAGTGGTCCCTCTTCTGGTCTAAGTTTTAAAACACGCAAACAAACAAACAAAAAATGTAAGTTATCTTATGGGTTTTGAAAATGATTTGGTAGCACTCAAGTATGTGTTGTAAATTCAGTTTACTGTGGCTGTCATCTTGAGCTGAATTGAATGCAAAAGTTAATCAGTTGTAAATGTACATCCATCAAGCACTTTTTTAAAGTTTTGTTGAAATTAGTTCAGTCGTTCATGAGATATTTTTCTAACAGAACCTGACACTGAACACCTCATTACCTCAGATGTGTGTTCCATCGCTGTATGGATGTGATCTAAAGCACTGATTATTCTTTGCAGAGATCTAGTACAGTGCTGTGTGAATGGGTAAATGAGGGAACAGATTGTGTTGTAATAAAGCACTTTGGCAAAACTAATCAGACTATATGAGCAGTTATCTTGAAGTTGGACTCTGCCATTTTCAGTGCACGAAATAGCAATCAGGAGATAATCATCAACTTGTTTTATTGACTGAACAAGTTCGCCTGTGTCGATACAGAATAATAGAGTTTGAATCTCACCAGATTTTGTGTCAGTGATGTAAAGGTTACTAAGGGATGGGCCACCAAAGACCAGTTCAAGTTTAAGTAATACCAGTGTGGGAAATTAAAAGTTCAGTTCAACTAAAAATCCCCTTCACACTCAGGAAAACACCAAAAGCATTACTTTGTATTCTCTAGGCTACACTTTTCTCATAGAAGACATCACTGCCTATATTTTTGAATTTTCATAACAATCAAAAAAACACTTTTTTGAGAATGTTTTCATCACAAATAAAATCAAAAATACTACTTTTTGTACCAATTCTATGTATTTTCAAGGTTTTTTTTTTATATTAGGGAGTGCACTATTTTGTCATCAGTGGTGAGATGATTAAATCTGAAACATTTTAATGTGAAACAAAAAGGAATGCCTGTGAGATGAAACTGAGGAGAATGTCAATTACATAGAAAGACCTGCAGTTTTTCTTCTGTTGTTCTGGCAGAAAGGATTAAAGAAGAAGAAAGTTTGAAAAGTTAAAGTGAATGTCTTGGCCTTGATGCAACAACAAATATTGTGCCAGGAGCTGAAATGACAAGGATACTGAATAAGAGCATTTTATTCTGTGCCATTGTGGATTTTAGACAAAACAGCTAATTTGGTTTTATCAAATAATGCAGTTGATGAAAATGAAAAAAATAAAAAAATAAAATAAAAAGAACACTGTTACCTGATTTTTTGAGTGATTTTAAATTAATAAAAAAGGGGGAAAAAATTTTAAATTTGAAACCAATTCTCATGAAAACTGTCCTGATGCTCAATAGATGAAGTTAACAAGGTTGTGTCAGGCCGTAGCTCAAACCCACCCACACAGACCAGTATTTGCAGTTTGACTCCCATCACCTTCTGGAGCACAAGTTAGGAGTCATCAGGACTCTGTATCACAGAGCAGACGTCCCCACTAACTCAGGAGACAGGCTCTAGAGCAATGTGGATATCCTAACTGGGCCTTCCTGAAAGCAGAGACGAAACCCAAACAGGACTCCAGTCAGCCAACAGGTGAAAAGGAGGAACCCAGACCAGTGGTCATTTCATGTGTTGTGGGAGTTTCAGAGAAATTGAGACGTTTATTTTCTAAACACAACGTCCCAGTGGCTTTTAAAGCCCAAAATACATTACGGCAAAGACTGGTTCATCCCAAAGATCCAGTCCCCCGGCACAAACAGAGTAATATTGTGTATGCTGTTCAGTGTCAGGAGGGTGAACAGTCTTACATCGGGGAAACTAAACAGCTACTGGCCAAAAGGATGGACCAGCACAGAAGATCAACATGATCAGGCCAGGACTCTGGGGTCTACACTCATCTCCAGGCCAGCGGTCACTCTTATGAAGATGTTCACATCCTTGATAGAGAAGAAAGCTGGTTTGAGAGTGAAGTGAAGGAGGCCATCTTTGTGAAAAAAAGCTGCCCATCATTAAACAGAGGCCTCCGTGTTCAACTGTCCCCCTCTTACAATGCTGTTATTGCTAATATGCATCACTCTGCCCCCTGGGAATAGCAAGTGGCCATCAGGGCACTTACAATCAATCGTTAGGCTGATGGTCCTCCTCCATCATGTGGACAGCTAGTTCTGGATGTCACCAGCAAACTGATTGATCCACTACGAGAAGGTGCTATTTATAGGACTGAGTTTGTTGCAGTGCCTCAGACTGAAGAAGTCCTTTGTATAATAGAAAACTTGTCAACAAAGGATTCATCCAGAGGACCTGACTTAGCCTTGTAAGTCACATGAAAACTGTTTAATGGCATGCAAAAATATCTGTTAATTCAAAGCCATAAACATTATATTGATATAGGAGTTACATGGATAAAAAAAATGTTATTTATAATGTAACAAGTCAACTACACTGGAGGATAGATTAAATCGTGTCTCAGTTTGGTCAGTGTCCCTCTTCATTAGACAGTCACACAACAGTATTTTCAGTCAGAGACTTCTTCTGATCCGCTGCAAGACAAACCGCTACAAGATATCCTTCCTGTCCACAGCCATCAGCATCTAGAATAACTTTTTAATGAAACCAGGATGATGAGTTACATTTAATTTCCGTTTGGGATTAATTATTTTTTAATCGAATTGAATCAACTTTACTGTATTTCTCCTATTTATCTGTGATCCTATAACCCCATCTAGTGGACTATATTTGACATGACAGTTGCACTGCTTTGCATATACAGTGCTGTAATTTGATTCAGCAACTTCAGATGTTCAGAAAAAAAAATGAGATGCTTTTTTTTCATTGTTTATCACTACAGATTGCATTGATTATATCTGTCCAACAAAACAAGTTTTCCGATTAAACAGTCACACCATTTCACTTTAATTGTATTATTTTGAAACACCTTATAGATTTATAGATAGAATTTGCTGGTCCCAACAACCACTATATTTTCAAACAATTGTGCAAGAGCCTGTCACTTATCAAGGTCAAGGTTTCTTTAGTCATTATCACATGTGGTACATGTGATGGAACAAATTTGTGTACACAGGATCCCAGTTACATCCAACAAAAGTATAAATTGTAAAATAGAAACAATAAGATCCAAGATATTAAATACACTAAACCAAGAATATGCTAAGCACTAGTTGTACAAAAACAACACAGCAGCACGAACATGAGTTTGTGTGAGCAGATGAGTATTAATGAACAGCATCATGAAATAAATCAGCAGCATGTATAGTCAGCACATAATCGAGTGGCATTAGTGATTTATTTTCCACCGTGATTATCCTGGTTAGGGATTTATAGAACAGCTTCAGGATAGAAGCTGTTCCTCAGTCTAGTTCTACATTTAATGCTCCTTAACCTCCTGCCTGAGGATTACATGGCAACAAGTGTGCTGGGTGAGTGGGGTCCTTGATGTAGGTGGCCCTTTTCCTGCATCTGGAGGTGTAGAAGTCTTGAGGAGGCCGACTCCAGACTTCTGTGGAGCTTTCACCACTCTCTGCAAAGTTTCTCTTTTTAGTTGTGCAGCCTCCATGCCACACGATACTGGAGCACAGGATGCTCTCCAGCACACCTGTAGTTTTGAGCCGATACAATTTCTCAGCCCAAAGTATTGGTCTTTCATAGAGACTTATGATTTGTCAATTTGTGACCAGGGCAGTCCACAGAAACATTTGAATGCTTGGTTTTATCACCAATGGAGATCAGTAAACAAATTGTGCAACAAGGCATGTTTGTTCAAATGATTCAAGAATTACGATTTAAAATTTTGCAGTTTTTAAATCAAATGTGTGAGTTAATGTAAGTGTGCTAATCTTCCTTGGAGGCGAGATTAAATCAGTCTTCGTTTTATAATTTTTTTCTCCATTTCATCTGTAATCCTATGGCGCCATCTACTGGACACTTTCTGCATTGCAAGTAACAGTTTGACATTTGGCCCCCAAAAAATCTCGAACCACTGGGTATTTAATGAAATTTTCAGGAAGTAACCAGTGTGTGAAGTAAACTCAAATGTACTGTCAATCTACAACCGAATGAGTTTACCAGTCCAATTCAAGATGGCAACATTTTAAACCTGCTCAATTGTTGACAGCGTTCAACCATTCTTAAATATGGCTGCTTTATTTTAAAATGCAAGCACAAAGACAGCTGGCACTTTGAATCCTTTCAAAAGATGTAAAGACTTAAAGATTTAAGTTTTTATAAATCACATGTTTAGAGACATTTTTCTTGGCACAAACTGCACAGTGGTGTTGCATGAAGAAACTGAACACTATTAAAAGTACTTTGGAGGAAGAGATTTGCCACTCACTGCCATGTCACAAAGGGCAATTCATAGAAATCCAGAGTTGTGGGATTTGATTTGGCTGAACCCTTTGCTTTTACGCTGCTGGACAAGATTTAATAAAAAAAAATTAAAAACATTTTAGTAGTGTTTATTTAAAGTGATTGTATTTTAGTAAAAAAAAAAAAAAAAAAGAAAGTGTTAGTATTTTGTTCAAGTACAAATATTTCACTTTTAATCAGTTTGAGCTAAACTTGATCACTGAGCTTTACCTTGTAGAAGTCACTGTTTGAGCTCGCCTTGAAAGAATTCCTAAACTTTGAGTTTACAATTTTGGTGGCTATTAATGCGTCCGAAGCAGCACTGCACATTTATCTAGATCAAGTGGTTTTGAGAAAGCATTTACTTCAAAGCAAAGAAACATGCAAGGTTGAGAGCCAATGGGTAAGGAAACTGTGTTGGGGGATCAATGGTGCCTAAAGCACAATACCTTGATAACAGCAGGTTTACAGAAAAGACCAGACTGAAATAAAATCTTGGCGTTTGTGCACAATCCTATTAAGGCTCCCCCCCCTCCCCCCCCCCGACCTATCGAGTTGAACTTGAGAATTAAAAGTGGCCACTTGATTTGGAAAGTGGAAAAAAAACAAATATTCGACAAGTTGTCAGTAAAGATATTTATTGACAGATGTACTCATCTTCCATAAACTCTCCAGCTTTCCCCAAACTCTTGAGTGTTTTTAGCCATAGATCCGTCAGATTTAACTTGATCGTTTACCATTCGGCCATCAAAGTTCCCACACAAGCCCTCCACTCTCCTTTTATAAAAGTTTGGTAGCAAGATTTCTGCAAGGGAAAAAAATACAAATAAATTTGCTGCTTTAAATTAAAATGCCAAAGACATCTTTATGGGATAGAATTACCAGTTTTACAATGTCCACTAGTTTTTACTGCAAGACCAAAATCCGTCCTCAGGAAGAACGAAGACGACTGTTCATAGATTTCCAGCCCAGGAGTGGGTGAAAGATAAGTTTCAATTTGTTGTCCATTCACCTGCAAAATGAGAACAGAAAATTGTTGAAACAATCATGAAAATGGAATTTAAGACTTTACTATCCAGATTTTACTGGGATATTCCATACAAAAGTTAAATTTTGAGGTTTTATTCATTCTCTTTTTGCATTTATTTTAATATTGAAGCAATGCAATACTTACAAACACTTTGCCTTTCTGCTTAAGTTCCACAGTGACATTGTACACATTGATTTTAAGCTCTTGGAATCCTTCAGGTGTCCCAGTAGCTTCATTCTTGACACCATTTTTGCTGCCTTTGACTTCAGCATTTTCATTATATTTCTCATAGTTGCATTTGTTGTTGACAACTTCTATGTAAATGTCTGGGAGGTTACTTGGCAAGTTTTTGGTCCGGACCAACACATACAAGTGTTTCCCATCAAAGTCATGCTTCGTTTCATCAAATGTTTTGTACTCTGGGTCTCCCTTAATGATACACTCCCTGAAACCTGTGAAATAAATTGGAAACTGAAAAATGCTAAAAACCATACATCAGATGTGTGTGTAAGGTGAGGACGTTTGAGTTCACAGTACCTGTAGATGTACAAAAATACTGGTTCATCTGATTTGGAATGCACACAGCATCGCCACCACAACCCTCATCAGAACAATGGAATGATCCAAAATCATTTTCTCCACATTCACATTTCTGAATGCAATGACTGGTGTACCACACTTCATTGAACTAGGAGGAAGTATAACATTTAGATACACCATTTGCTTCAGGTTTTGTCACAGGAGCAAGCATTTAAAAAAAATCTTAAAGCCACTCACCTGATGAGTAGTGCCATTTGCCACACAGCCACATTCATTTAAAGGCACGCAAACCCTCCCTTTTTGTACAAAGCTGCCATCACATACACAGCCTGCCACACATTTTTTGTCTTGGCACTGTGGTGGGCCATTCGGGTGTCTACAAGTTGGGTTGCATGAAGGGATGCAAGTGGTAAAATGGCTGTTAGCTGCACAAGAAGGTGCTGGAAGACAAAGCGCATGTTTAGGAACCAATAGTACAAAAAAGGAAATATTAAGAAATAAAATACTTACTTTGAATATTTGTTACTGGTACCATAGTTGGTGTAGTTGAAGATGAAGATAAAACTGGCAGTGAAGAGGTTTGAAAATAATTTGTTATAATTTGTGAAAAACTCTTGTTGGTAGACTGTTGAGCCATGGCAAAACTCTGCCAGCCACTACTTAGATTACCCAGGGAAAGGTGCCCTTCACCAACGGAAAATTGGGGCAGAGTTTCATTTGTAAATACTCCTTTAGCTTTAGAAAAACCCTGAGGAGAACTGGTTTCATTACCCTGGGTCAATTGGGGATTGGACATGGCTGTTTGAATCAGTGGTAAGGTCTCATTTGTAGATTTTGGTTGAGCTGTAGAATTTAGTTGGCTACTGGTTGCATTCCTTTGTGGCTCAACCGTCAGAGATACAGATTCATTTTTAAATTCTTGCTGAGCTGTAGTAGAAACATTGTGGGTACTTGATGAATTACCAGGGGTTATCTGGGCTTTGGATGTAGTTGTTGGAAGCTGAGTCAAGGTTTCATTAGAATAATCTGGTTGAGATGTAGTAGAAACATTTTTGGCAATTGTTGCACTGCTCTGGGTTGTGGCTGTAGTTGTTGGAAGCGGTCTTGATGTTCCATTGGTTGATGCAGGTTGAGCTGTAGTAGAAACATTTTTGGCAACTGTTGCACTAATCTGGGTTGTGTGGGCTGTAGTTGTTTGAAGCGGTCTTGATGTTCCATTGGTTGATGCAGGTTGAGCTGTAGTAGAAACATTGTTGGCAACCGTTTCACTACTCTGGGTTGTGTGGGCTGTGGCTGTAGTTGTTTGAAGTGGTTTAGATGTTCCATTGGTTGATGCCGATTGAGCTGTAGTAGAAACGTTTTTGGCAACTGTTGCACTACTCTGGGTTGTGGCTGTAGTTGTTGGAAGCGGGCTTGATGTTCCATTGGTTGATGCAGGTTGAGCTGTAGTAGAAACATTTTTGGCAATTGTTGCACTACTCTGGGTTGTGTGGGCTTTGGCTGTAGTTGATGTTCCATTGGTTGATGCAGGTTGAGCTGTAGTAGAAACATTGTTGGCAACTGTTTCACTACTCTGGGTTGTGTGGGCTTTGGCTGTAGTTGTTGGAAGCGGGCTTGATGTTCCATTGGTTGATGCAGGTTGAGCTGTAGTAGAAACATTTTTGGCAACTGTTGCACTACTCTGGGTTGTGTGGGCTGTGGCTGTAGTTGTTTGAAGTGGTTTTGATGTTCCATTGGTTGATGCAGGTTGAGCTGTAGTAGAAACATTGTTGGCAACTGTTTCACTACTCTGGTTTGTGTGGGCTGTGGCTGTAGTTGTTGGAAGCGGTCTTGATGTTCCATTGGTTGATGCAGGTAGAGCTGTAGTAGAAACATTTTTGGCAACTGTTGCACTACTCTGGGTTGTGGCTGTAGTTGTTGGAAGCGGGCTTGATGTTCCATTGGTTGATACAGGTTGAGCTGTAGTAGAAACAGTTTTGGCAACTGTTTCACTACTCTGGTTTGTGTGGGCTTTGGCTGTAGTTGATGTTCCATTGGTTGATGCAGGTTGAGCTGTAGTAGAAACATTTTTGGCAACTGTTGCACTACTCTGGGTTGTGTGGGCTGTGGCTGTAGTTGTTGGAAGGGGTCTTGATGTTCCATTGGTTGATGCAGGTTGAGCTGTAGTAGAAACATTGTTGGCAACTGTTTCACTACTCTGGGTTGTGTGGGCTGTGGCTGTAGTTGGAAACGGTCTTGATGTTCCATTGGTTGATGCAGGTTGAGCTGTAGTAGAAACATTGTTGGCAACTGTTACACTACTATGAGTTGTGTGGGCTTTGGCTGTAGTTGTTGGAAGCGGGCTTGATGTAGGTTGAGCTGTAGTAGAAACATTTTTGGCAACTGTTGCACTACTCTGGTTTGTGTGGGCTGTGGCTGTAGTTGATGTTCCATTGGTTGATGCAGGTTGAGCTGTAGTAGAAACATTGTTGGCAACTGTTTCACTACTCTGGGTTGTGGCTGTAGTTTTTGGAAGCGGGCTTGATGTTCCATTGGTTGATACAGGTTGAGCTGTA